GAAGATTTGTGTGAAATACACATAGAGTAATTCTATTGTCTCTGTTCTCCAGCAACTTTACATCATTGTCTCTGTGGAGACGGCCTACTGCTTCCTTGATCCTGTTCACAAGTGTGAGAGTTTACAAAGCCTCTAAGGAGTTTTGTAATATACATATATTCAGTAAATTACTTTTGCCTCAGACTGTAAAGGAAATTTGTTTCATATATAAACACTTTGGAATATAGGGAAAGCATAAAGAATCCAGCCACTCATAGATAACCATTTCAATATCTTTTGGATACTCTTCTCAACATTTAAGAAAAAATTTTGCACACAAGATCATATATTATCCAGTATTGAATCTATTTTAGTTCATTTAGTGTTGCTATAAAGGAATATCTGAGGCTGTTAATTTATAAAGAAGAGAGGTTTATTTGGTTCATGGTTCTGCAGGCTGCACAAGAAGCATGACACCAGCATCTGCTTCTGGTGAGGTCCTCAGACTGCTTCCATTCATGGCAGAAGGTTAGCGAAGCTGACATGTGCACAGATCACATGGCAAGAGAGAAAGCAAGAAGGGAGAGGGAGGTACCAGGCCCTTTTTAACAACCAGCTCTCTTGGAAGCTATCAGGGTGAGAAATCACCTATTACAGTGAGGACAGCAGCAAACCATTCATGAGGGACCTGCCCCAATGACCCAAACACCTCTCATTAGCCCCACCTTCAGTGCTGGAGATCAAATTTCAACATGAGGTTTGAGGGGACAAACATCCAAACTATAGCAGAATCCTAAATATTTCTTTGCTACACATTATATAATCAGGGCTTCCCCCTTTACAATTTAAATTTCTTTGTAAACACCATTTAATGATTGATTGCCCAATACTGGAGGGTGAGAATCATCATATGCTGCCTAACAATTTCTTTATTGCCTTTTATTTTATTTCAATAGTGCAGCATTGAACTTTTTGCATATTTGGCCACATTTAACACATATTGCTAAATCCCTTTCACTAAAAACATATAATAGTGCCATTATAACATTATAATATTCATTATAACGCTGATTTTTTTCTCCATCCTTTAATCTCTTTAATTCACACATCTGTCCTTTGTATAAAGAGGTGTTTTGGTGAACCCAAGTTGTTACATCAATGACATTCCATAGTATTAACACTAGAAAGATTGAAGTCACATTCATGAATTATACAGGAAATATCAAAGGTTCATGAACTGATTATTCTTCTGGCAAGTTAGGGTTGGGTCTCATATTATCAAACTAATTTTTAATGCCTACTAAAATTCATACTTAATAGGAAGACGATCTACAATGAAAATTGTCCCTTGTTAGGTGGAGAGCAAAGACTTATTCACACTGAATCTCCCATGCCTTGTATAGCACTGGGCACAGAATGGCATTCAGTGTTTTGAGAATGAATGAATGGTCTGCCTCTTGTCTTTGATAACAGTGAATATCATGCTAGGAAAACAGGGGCATGTAACTTTTACTTACCAAACTCTATGAGTTGCATTGAGCATACTTCTCAATCACGAGCATTAATTTGAGAATAGTTAGGAAGGAAAGTGGAGTCTCTGGGGCACTTGCCTCTGTTTGTGGCCTCCTGTGCAATCTTAGCCAAATAACAACCTTTCCAGGCCTAGGTTTACCCATCTTTTAATATTACAGGATTTTACGCTTTAAAAATTCTATAAATTACTACATATTTGCAAACCTAGATTAACTATGACAGATGGTATGTTTGAGGAACTATTTTTTTAAATCCTTTTTATTACTCTTTTAAGAAATGCAACAAGAGCCTTACAAACCATCCATTTGAAGAGCAAGCACAAAGACCAGCTCTGTTTGTGGTGCCACCACAGTTGCAGAAAGGAATATCAGGAAGTCAGAAATGAATTGTGTTTCAGTCACTCTGCATGGTTGCTGCCACATATGGAACATTTTTAGGCCAACTTTTCAAAATTCCCAGTTAAGGTAAATGGGAAATTAGATGATCTTCATTAAGACTCCATGGGTGTGTCTGAGCTCCTGCTGCCAAAAGGGCCACTGATAGATGAATTTCTTGCACTCCTGAGAACATGCCTCTCTCGTCTTCCAAATGCTTGATTTACCGAAGAGACTGTGCTTATATCCCAGACCCAAAGCCCTTCTTTTCGACCTCCAAAGGCATAAATAAATGGCAAATCAGGGCAACATAAAGAACAGAAGAGAACTCCCATTTTCATGTCCCTAGAATGAACTAGACTTGGCCTATCTCCTAAGATGCCCCAGATCTTCACATATTTGTCAACTGAAGCAGTCACGAGACAGCCCTTGATTTAACTGCTAAGATCAAGACCAGAGATTTCATCATTGTGCGCATTAAGTGTAAAAATTGGCTTATCTGAACCTGCATCCAAATTATACACAAAGCCATCATCTGTACTGGCCAAAAAATGACAAGGTGAAAAGTGATTCCAAGTCACTCTATCTGCCTACTGAATCGCCACATTCGATGGCTTTCATCTGGACTTCAGCAGTCATACAAAGCCAGAAATCAGAGTCTGTGCTTCAAATGGATGAAACTGCAGCATTTGGACCTTGTCTGTGTGTATAGGGAGGCTAGCTGCTGGTTTCCCCAAGGACATATCCCACAGAATTACAGTGTTGTCCGCTGACGCACTTGCTAAAACATTTCTGATTAGCTTATTCCATGAAAGGTCAAGGACAGCATCGGTATGCCCTTCTGCTGAGAAACTCTTCTTTCCTTTCTTTTTCTTCTTTTTTGAAAGTTTACTTCCCAGTGTGAAGACTGGCTCTAAAGAGTCCACTATATCAAGGTCCCACACTTCAATAACAGGGGTCATGTTTCCTACAGCAATGTAATTTCCAGTAGAATCATCTGGGCTAGGATCAAAATTCAGCCATTCCACACTCAGAGGATATGCAGACAAGAGTATATCCTGATGTACATAAAAAGAGTCTTCTTCTTGATTATAAACATGCACCTCTAAATTGCACTGGTCCTGTTCAGCTCGGCCACAAGCTATGAGATTATCACTGGGCTTAAGCAAGAAATCTTCAAGTTCATATTGTTCTGTATCTTTCAGAGTAACGTAAGGATCTTGATCATTACTCCCGTAGACCATAAGACCCAAGAGAGATTCACCAAGAGTCTCAGCATCTGGGTCATCTTCCTCATCATATTTATATAAGTCATACTTAGCTCATCATCATCGAGCGTCCTGTCATCCTCTGGGTCACCATCCAGGGGCTCTCTTGGGTGTGCCTGGGTGCGCGCACTCTGCATGCCATCTTCTGAAGGACTGCCTGTCTCCTCTTCATCAATGCCACCACCCACCTTCTTCTTGCAATTTCTCCTTTGCCTCAGCAGTGAGACGTTTTACTTCTTCTTTACTCAGCTCTACCTTGTCTGGTGTCTCTTTGGCCATGCCGCAGCGGACCCAGGCCACACACCTCACCTGGCAGCTGCGGTTCACGATCCTCAGGTCAAGGGCGTGTCAGGCTAGAAACTCGGCGGAGCATGAGGGACCACAGCCGCGCTGCGGCCACACTGTCGGGGCTCCGCACGGGGCCGCTCACGCTGAATAGGTTTTTTTTTTTTTTT